TGACGTAGGTATTAGAACGAGTGTCCCCATATTTCAAAAGACTTATGAATCATTCAGAATTAGTTTTTTTTTTAATCTAAAAATGCAGAAAGTTTCCTGTAAGGGGTAGGTTTAGGTGTAGGGAGATAGAAAATACAGTTTATACAGTATAAAAACCATTACACCTTATGGAGAGTCCCTACAAGGATACAACCCACAGCAGACAGTCTGAATGTGGGAATAGACTACAGACTAGCTGAATTTATAATTTATTTTTATAGTCAAGCTCATTTCAGTCGAGCTCTACAACAGAGGCAGGAGAATCTGGTGACTTTTATTTTGAAATGTGCGTGTGTTTCCGGTGCGCTTCACGCTCACCGCCGCAGTCACGCGCGCTTGGCGGGAGTCACTGAAGTTCACAAACTCGCTTTCCTCTTTCACTTTGGTGTTGGGCAATAGAAAATATGGTTTGTACAGAATAAAAACCATTACGCCTATGGAATGTCCAACAATTCACAAAAACAAACCTGTGTGTGTGTGTGTGTGTGTATATATATATAGATATGATAATACTTGAAATGCAAAAAACAGGATACAGGATAGCATTTTGCATGTTTAACATTTCACATTCAATGTTACTTAATCAATATTGAATTTTAAATATATATTTCAATTAATTTTATTTTAATTTATATTTCATTTAATTAATTTAATTTAATTTTTGTTTATAATTTATTTATTATTATTATTATTTTTTTTTAATCAAAAGATGTCCACAATCATTAATAGACACACACATACTTTTTTATGCCTTTCAAGGGATTCCAGGTGGCTGCGGTTTCCTAGGTCAAAAGTATGAGTAAACTGACCAGCCGACTCAACACAAGACCCAAACAGCCAGTGCTAGGTAGCATTGGAGAGGTAAAGTAATGGACGAGGGATGATCCCACACAGTTGTTAAATGCTTGTTAAGATTAATAAACACCCTCCAATAAAGCATCTCCCCAGACACACTGCTTCCTGAATAGGGTCAGACATTATACATGCTTCTCTAAAGACCCTATGGCGCGCTTACGCTTAAGCAAGCATATGACTGAGGGGAACGAGAGAGAGAGAGAGAGAAGGTGATAAAGGATGCAGCGCTGAAGGCAAAAATGCAGAGAGAAAGCGAGAGAGAGAGGTGGAGGTTGGAGAAAGCAAAAGACTAATGAAACTGAAACATCAGGGGTATTTGTTTCAAGGGAGAAGAAAATTAATAAGCATGAAAAATAATAATCCTCAACACTGGGCCACATGGAATGATTAAAGCAAAACAGCAAACCAATTATTATAGGGTGAGCAATGCAGTGAAGTCTTGACAAAGAAGTAAACAACCGAACTAACTGGCACGCGAGCACACACACCTCTGCTGCCGACTGCATCTGTTTTACACCAGTGCAGCATCTAGCCATCCACTCACACTTACTAACAAGTGCTGATGACTCAAATCACAACCCATTTAGATCTAGTTAACAGTTCTACTGTAACTCAGTGCGTCATTCGCGAGCAGAGAGTGATGCTCTTTAAAAAAGGAAATGCATTGGGTTTAAAAAAGCAGTAGACACGATCTGACATTAATATGCTTTGTCTTCATGTTTTTTCTAATAAAAATGTTCAGGGTATTTTGCCTAAGCCAGTTTTCTTGTCTCATCAGGCCTTAGCAGGTTACAGAGGTGTTTTGGGCACTGGGAAACCAGCTAGCCACTCGATAAAACCAGCTAGAAACCAGCTAAACACCAGCCTGGCCAGGACAGGACTACATTTAATTAACCAAAACCATCTTAAACCAGCTTAGGATTTTAGCAGGGTTGTGGAAAACCTTTGTTTGTTTGTTTTTGCTAGATCATTTTTTTGCTAGCTAAATTTATTAAAAGTCACATTTTACCTTTGCTCTGTGAAATTTCACAGGTGAAATCAAGTCATTTCAATAAGAATTCAGTTTTTGAAAAAGCTAAACAGGCAAGTTGGTCATGCAAATGAACTGCGTTCACCAACATAAACCTGCTTGGTTTGGAAGTTACTTAGGGTGACCATACATCCTCATTTTTCCAGACATGTCCTGGCCGGGACTTCTAAATTGCCTAAAATGTCCGGGATTTGACTTGGTTTTCCTATTGACATGCTCTCTACAGTCCTCCTACATTATGTGTATGTGCATTTGCATTGCTTTGACCGTTCTCAGTAGATCCCACCTTCTCACATGCCACAATGTTTTCCAAAGCAATAAAAACAAAGCCAAAACCCGGACATTTGGGACATATGGTCACCCTAAGTTTGTGAGCTATGAGCATACATTGCCAAACAACTGATAAACGTCAAAACGTCGCTAACGTAACCAGACCTTAAATCTAGTTATCTATTCTGTATGGGTGTGGTGCTATTTTAGGTTTAACACTTTGTGCTATTGGCTGGATTTAAAGGATATTTGCTAAAGAGAATTGGGATATGATGGTGGCACTCGGTAAAACAGGTCCTTATGCCAGCTGATTAGCTGTCGGAGAGCAGTTTTATTCAGGGGGGCATGACGAGAGCGACTCGCTCCATAAATCTACAACAGTTCTGATAATGACACTCAGACTGTGTGCAGTGCTATAATCCATTAGGTCCCCTCACCATTACAGCACCTTTCCCAGAGGCTGCTCCGGAGCTTAGGCGAACCCCAGACAAGCCTGAGAAAAACATAGCAATAATAAATTAAGGGTTGTGGCATGCGGGCACATGCTTAAACCCCCTAATGGATCTGTGTGCCTTAGCTAGAAAAAAATAGCTAATCATCAGCAATGGATTTGTTATGAAAAGCTAAGGGCAACTGAGGGAAGATGGCTGCAAGCTGAATCATTAGTGGAGAAAGATCACATTGGGCCTCATTTACCAATGGAGAGATATACTGTGAAGATTCTGGTGCAAAGAACTGAGGCTAATTTCAGAATTCATGCATTCATTCTTGAATTTTTATGAAGCGCAGGCTAACGACACACACTAACAGATGACTCATGCAACCAGTACATTAGCGTCTTCCAGCATCCTACTTTTACTGTACATATTTGAACAACTACATTAAATTGACAATAAAAATCCTTTGTAAGACTAGAAGCAACTGCTAATGTTTCTTTAACAAGCTTACTTGAGCAAACACCCCAGAAAGTGGACAGTACATGAGTTATAGTGACCTATAACTCTTATTTATTTGACAAGTCATCTCTATGACAGACATTAATTGCGTAACTCTTTCATGCTATTACTATTGAAGATTAAATTGACCCTGCATGACAAATCACAGTGACAATTTCCCCAATAATCAGCCAATAACCAACTTAAACACTATGCTGGTATTTAGGATGCTATGAAATTGATCAGGCTGAAAATTGAAAATGACCATTGACAGCATAGATGGGTTAAATTGATCAGTGTCGTATTCCTAGCTAAGGGTTCTTTGCATTTGTATGAAGAGCAGACGTTTAGAAGATTAAATAAAAAAAATACAGAAAAGGAAATATTAGAAATACTTTGTCAGATCCCTTATTTTAGTTACTGTACATTCACTCAAGAGATGCATTTCTTCATAAGCTGTTATAGCATAGTGAAATAAAAGTTTCCATCAATTTAATCAGAAATAATATCTGTCTGTCACTGAAGTTGTATAAAACACTGACTGATTTATCATGAACATGATACATATGCATAAGAACCGTGCATACAAATAATGATGACACAATCTCAGAAAAGCAGCAGTTGCAATAGATTCTTCATCAAAATGACTATTTCTGTGCTAACTGCATTTGTACATAACTAAAATAGCACTTAACATTCCTCTGGTAACAGATGCTTCATATCTAGACAACTGGAATCTGGCAAACATCTTATTTTAGAGAAAATAACCAAATCTTATTAATCCAACACCATTTGCTTGAGGCAATCTCAATCATCAAACAAAAATACCCAGTTTAGTCTATATCCACGCATCTTTTGCATTGAAAAATGATAATTGACAGAGGTTGAGGAATAGCGATGAGGAAAGAGTCAGAGAGACACACACACAGGCTAGAGGTTGTTGTTTTGTGATTGAAACTGGAAGGCCATAAAGCCTTGATAGTTCTCGTATTTACTATCGTCTTAAATCATGTACAACTACAGCAAACTTTTCTATAATAAGTTTTCATGCTTGCGCACCGCTGTGGAAAACATTGGCACTTCACCCGTTTTATGCGTATGAGCTTGAGGCTATTCACAGGCAACTAAATCATCTTTCACTGGAGGAAAATTGTACCTCAGTGGAGAGAAACAAAGCTAAAACAAGCCATTCGGAATTTATCGCATAGGGCACTGACCGGGAACCCTGATGCATGATGGGTAAAGTTTAGCAAAAATTAAATTGCTTACCGAGCACACCAAGCCGATAGTTTACGGTTATGACGATGACGTTGCCGTAACTGGCCAAGATGCTTCCGTCAAACATATTTCCTGTTCCTTCCATATACGATCCTCCATGAATGAAAACCATCACCGGTTTGGGGCTCCCACTTTCACGAATGTCTGGAAAAAGGAGGATAGAAACTATTAAATTACAAATCACTGTAGACAGCTGGAAATGCATTCAGAGCTGAGGGCTCCCATTTTCCTCAAATTGGCCACATTGGCTTTATTTTTGAGACAAGATCAGTTTTGGAAATGAGCTCATTAATTTCCTAGGCAATATGAATGTCATGTTCCTGGTGATCGAAAAAATTCCTGTTATTTTTTTTTTTTTACTTTTTATGATTACGTCTTTTTTTCTTAAGGTGCCTGTGAGTAATACAAAGTTGGAATTAAAATGGGAATTTTAATTTCTGAAGTAACGCTTTAGATTAACTAAGGTTTTGAAACATGACTAAAAAACAAGGTGGGCAAACTTAAAGTAAGGGGACCTCAAGTCTTCACCTCATCTTCTCAGATCCCATTTTTCTTTTAGCAATGAAAATGGCACACTTTTAAAATTTCCATACATTGCTTAGGCAAAGTAATCCACTTTAGGAAAATGGTCTCTGTCCGAGAGGGAGGTATTTTCAAAACACAAATGCGATGCAGATGATAACTTTCGTCTTGCTTGAGGGAGAGTGCCATTTCATCATGGTTGCAAAGCCGTCACATAAATTTCGGTTATTTTATTGGGCATGCAGGGACCTGCTTCTGGGAGGTCTAGTAACAAGCAAAAAAACAAATGAAAAAAGCAATCATCCTCTAAAACAATTTTCTTAAGGCCTCTAAACAAGACCACCTCTTGCCAAATGTGCACACAATAGTTTATTTTTTTAATCGTTTTTTAAAAAACAATAGTTTTTTTTAATCAGTCAACATAATTTATCATTTGCTTTCTCTTCTCATCTCAGTTAACTCCTTTTCGAGGTTCTTTTCCGTTCTGTTTTGTTTCCTCGTTCAAATTGCTCAATGCAAAACACACAATGAGTTTGTCTCTGTCAGGCAACGTAATGTCTCCTCTTGTCTTATCTCATCTCTTCTAGTCTCATTTTGTCTCACCTGGCCCCATCCTGTCCTATCTCTTCTGTTCTTCTCTTCCAGAATGCTTAAAGTGAGATTTGCACACAATACAGCAGTTCTTCTTCATCGGTGTAAATTTTCGCCTTGTCCCTTTTTTGTGTCCTCTCACTTCGTCCTGTCCCATCACTTTTGTTCTTCTCTTTTTAAATGTTCAAAGTGAGATTCTCGCCTCACCCATTTCTGTCCCGCTCCTCTTTTTAGCCTCTTGAAAAAGGCTCAAAGTGGGATTTGCAAAAAAAGATTGTTCTTATTCTTCATCAGGCAGCCTAATGTATCATGTTGTCTCATCTTGTTTCTTCCCAAATGCTCAAAGTGTGATCCGCACAGTGTTCTTCTGATTCAGGTGACCAAATGTCTCTCTCATCTCTTTTCTTTTCTCATTCCATCTCCTCTTTTCTTGTCTCACCTCCTCTTCCCATCTCTTCTCCTCTTTGTCAGACATGTAATGTCTCATCTTTTCTCTTTTGGTCTCAATTCAGTCTGTTTTGGTCTGTTCTTCTCTTGCAAAATGCTAAGTGTGAGATATCCTCGCAACATTCCATCCCTTTGGTTTTCCTCTTCAAATTGTATTCTTCTTTATCAGACCATATCTTCTTCATCTCTTCTCTTTTCTCGTTTCACCACTTCCCTTCCCATCTTTTCTTTTACCGGAAGTGTTGTGGCTTTGTGTATGAAAAAGTGCTACATTAAGCATTGATCATTCAAAGAAAGATCTTAAATTCATATATAATCCAGTGGCTTTTTTAAATGAAGCATTAATTAGATTTAAATATCTTACAGTAATTTTGATGAATGAACTGAATGACCTATGAGCCCCAGAAGAATGTAAACTAGCCTAGTGAGTCTATCAGTGTCCAGAAGGAGGAAATGACAGGAAGTGATTCCTCAGAGACATGAATACTCCACTGATCCCTGTCATTTTTATTCAGACTGACAGAAATACTTTTCATCAGCAGGCCAGAGGTCATGTGTGCATGCGCAAGCCAGTCTGTTTGTAGTCTTCTAAGTCTTTTATAAATGTCATATGTCAAATGGCAATGAGAAGTCCAGTGTACCGTGGCCTTTCTCCAAAACGGCATTCCTGAATGATAACATGACTGGAGATTTTCTTTCACTGATGAAATGTGACTGAAAATGTTGACTTAAAAATGCTAAGCTGTGTTTTGAAAACGGTAAGGTCTGTAGAGACCTATACGTGCACCAAGATATTTTTGAAAACATTTTTTTGTTGTTGTTGTTGATACATTGAAAGTCAGTGGGGTCCAGTGTTGTTTTGGACCCCACTGACCTCCACTGAAAGGATAAATCAAGATGATCAAATTATGTGTTCTGCAGAAAAAGTAAAGTCACACGGGTTTGGAGATTTTTACTTTTGTATAACCCAATTCTTCAGATCTTCGACCACATACTTACATTGTCTCTTGGGCCTTTTGCCACCGATTACATGAAAAAGTCAATAAACGTTGTACTCTTCATACTAAAGCACCAGCTTAATGAATGTGTCAAAAGTGGCTATTGATTTTGGTGATAGTTTGCTTTAGTAAATCTCCAGCAAATAGTCATATCTGGAGAATCCCTTGGCATTTGGAGTTGTTATGTATGATTCATGATCCTGGTGTATGGCCCGTATGCAGCTTTTATATCAAAAACAAAAATGTAAACTAATTAGAATAGATATTAATATCTGTGAGTGGGCCACTGATGTTATCAAGCCAATTACTGGATCTATGAAATAAAATCAGAGGAGCTGGTTGGCGAGAACTGTCGCTGATGCCACGGCAGCTGGTATAAGCAGTGTGCAGTAATAAGGTAGCGTTATGTCAACATAATTAATGTGCGCTCTGTGTCTCCTCTCAGCCCTATCAGCTGCAGCTGTCTAAGAGCCAAACGGCGGCCCTTTTCCACTTAGCAAAAAAGCATGCGTAGATAGGCCTCAGGAATTTGAATAAACATGTTTACTTAAATGTTTAGCTCATTTGGCTACATAAATTCACTCATGCATTGGATTAAAAAGTGTTACTGAGGCACTTTCAAGCAAAACTTGATTAAAACTGTGCTAATTTAAGTCAAGCTGTTTCTAGGTATGTCCTGTTTTAACTACTGTCTGATTCGGATTTTCAAAAAGCTAAGAGCTGATGTCAAGCACACTTTGTCAGTTTACATTGACCTTGAAGTATTTAGACACACTGCGTTTACATTTCTTTCAGTATATGTTTGAATTATTTAAGTACACATCAGGAATGTACTTTGGGAGTAAATTATTGAAACTAGTGACGCCACTAACATTTTACTAACTAGCAAACCACGGCTACGTTTCATGTTAGCACTAGTAGTCAAAACAGTGTAGGTTTCTGGAAACAAGCTAGCATGATAACGACAAGTATTGTAGTGAACAAGCTAGCATTACTTTTAATTACGTTGTGTTGCACATGAAGCTTTATAGCAGAGCAAACTGGGGTAACAAAACACATTCTTTTAAGCTCTTCTTTCATATTGTAGCATTTAAAAACAATTCACTGATTTAGGTCTTGTTAATAGCAAAACATTTAGCTAAACGATGTGGTTCATGACTGTTTTCAACTATTTCAGATATAGTTTTACTTTTATTTAAAGTAAATCTATTCAATTATCTGTTCAAGTTCAAATTTGTGACTTTATATGTTTATTCATTCATTCAAAAAAAAAAAGTAGCTTAAATGCAGTTAGCTACTTTCTGTTACGATCTAACTGCATTGAGTAATGGTTTCACAATAGCTTCCCAACACTGATGTACATACACCAAGGAAGGTTCAGGCTGACACAATGGGCCATATTGGGATTTAGAGCAGATCCTTGAAAAGAAAACGTTGTAGCTTTCCCTATGCATACCGTTGTTACAAATCAAAGGAACAGCTGATCACTGAAGACGTCTTAACAGATCTGAGAAACCATGTTAACCAGTCATTAGGAAGCTCCTGGTTTTGGCAAGACTTTGCCATTGTAGCTTGACATACACTTGATGGGCAGCTGTGAGTGTCCTGAAGGCCTCTGAAGATGCTGAAGTTTGTGGCTGATGTTGGCGATGAGTGTTTTCCCAGTAATGTAAATCGTCGGGCCTGCTTAAGAGGATTACTCCGTCGGTTTTCAAGAGAGTTCATGCAAGAGACTCTGCGGGATCCACACTGTATATTTGTGCTGCTGTAATCTTTTGATGTGCAGATCAAAGCGAGCAGGCTCTTTTCCTGGTTTTAGCCTCCTCTAATTTCATTTGATTATACAGGAAGCAGTTTTCACTGGGCTTCTGTTCTGACATGAACACGAAAGGAAATGCTTTTATCACATACAGTCACTCAGGGATTATTATCATTAGATTTTGTACCTCTTTTACGGTCTATAGCTCAGGCATTTAATCGATGTGTTAATTTGTTGTGCATCTCTATAGATTTTTGCGCAACCACTAAACATCAGGCAATTAAAAGTCATCTCAATGGTGGGACAGTAATGACTATTGATGCACAGTCTGATGGAAATGCAGACGTGGCATTTTGGATTCCAGGAACATACAATGTTGCATAGAAAATTTTTTTGCATAGGCTTTCAATTGAATTTCGGAAGATTATTTTTTAAACTGGGGGTTACCTCAGAATTTTTTTTAATTTTTTTTTATAGGCATAAGGGTTGAAAAATCATGCAAACAAAGTGTTAAGAATTAATATCATGATTATTAGTTTGTTTGCTTGTTTTTGGTTTGTTTAGGTGAGATGCAACATATAAAATTAAAAGGAAATGATAATAAAAAATATTCAAGCAAAAACCTATGAAGGGTTATTATTAACAGTTATGTGTATCTGGAATGACGGGAGACAGGTCACATCAAGCAAAAACGACAAAACACATCCAGCAAAAAACGAGCAAGAAAAAAAAAATCTCCACTCTCAAAAAAGGACAAGAAATTTAAGAAAAACAACGAAGAAAAAACTGGAGGGTTCCTTGTCATGCATATCAGTTTGGCATCAAAAAAATACCTTCATCCTCAGCACCGTCATTATCAGCTAAATCATCATTCTGTTTCTTTGAAAGAGGACCTAGGATCAAGAATGGAAAAGATGGAGCAGAGAGAAAATACAAGAGCAAACAAGCCTTCAAAAAGTGCTTCAAAGACATAAAGAACTCGCATTGAAATCCTTGGTTTTAAAAATGATAGCGTATTAAAAAAGAAAGAAAGAAAGAACATTCGAAGGGTAGATCTAAGCTAAAAATTGAATGAAACAAACATGTTAGATGTTTACAAAGGTGTAAGGCAGAAAAGAAAATCCTTACTGTCTCACTGATTCATGTAACAGTTCAAAATAAGGTATTTATTTCAAGTCAAAAATATTTCTTGCCTGCTTATCAAGGGGACCGATGCTGTTTTTAACTGGGTTAACTATTCAATGCTGTGTTTTGACAGTCAAAATAGTTTAAACATGTTTCCCTTTTTGCACGGCAATAATACACAGTATCTTCCAAACACATTCAACAGCCAATGCACTGCGTTGTTATTTTAAACCTGTGGGTCATTTTACAGATCATCTGTGGTTTAATTTGACTGATTATTAAAGGAAACATCCAGTTGTGAAATTACTATATATTTGCAAGTATCAACAAGAATCTACATGCTCACAGTTTGCATTTAAATCTGCAAAATAATTCAGAGAGGCTCTACAGAAATAACATCTTCAAAATAACAACGCAAGTGAGAGGCTGGTGAAGATTAATACTGTTTTCTTGCTTATTGTTTTCAGTAATATAGGTTCAGACTCAAGAATGCAGTCACACACACACAGACATACAACAAACACGGATGAACGCGTGCATGGAAGGAAGGAAGCACATTTAAAATAGGCCAGCACCAGCCCAAAGGTTTCAGTGCACATGCAGGAGCGTGTATTGTTTGTTTGTGTGTGTGTGTGTGTGTGTGTGTGTGTGTGTGTGTGTGTGTGAGAGAGAGAGAGCGAGGGGCAGGAGAATTGGGGGATGAAGCAGCTCTCTCAGCCAGAAGTAAATCTGTCCATTTAATCAGACAGCTGGGGCCAAAACTCATGACCCACACATTCTAATGGACCACACAGGGGAATGTAGAGGGCCGTGCACTGCATTGCGTCCATTTTATTTTGGTGAAGCACTGTGTTTTCTGGTATGGGCCAAGACCTTAGTAACTCCAAAAATGGGTTGAAAATGATAGCTGCTGTTTTGAATAAAAAGCACTGTTAATATTTGAAGCTCTTCCACTCAGATTTTCTCTGAAAAATAAATAAACATTGTGCATTTACATATAAAAACAGTGGCTAAACACAACAGATAAATATTCAGTGCAATATTTCATTATACGTTACACATATAAAAAATGAATGGAGAAAGTGGGGAGAAAATGTAAAACATTTGATAAGATTAAAAAGTACATTCATTGTCATCACATAAAGGTAAATTTAAAGTAAAAAAATATATATATTAATCAAGTAATTTGCAAATTGTTTTGCATTTAAATATGGAACCAAATTCAGTGAAAACAGAAGATAAATGTCAGGTTGGGGCAAGCAACTGTTGCTGTTGGACGAAAAAAAAATATATATACACGTCTGCCGTTTCATTAATTTGTTTAACAGTTGTTTAATGGCAAGTTCCATTATGCCGATTTACCCCATGTATCCATATTTCAATATGCAGTAAATTACCCTTAAAGTAAATGTAATAATAAAAAAAATAATAATAATACTTTCACTGAAGTTGACACAGTGGCATAAAATAGAATTTATAAGAATTAAAAAAAAAAAAATCAGAATTTATATAATGCATTGGTGACTATGAAATAAAGTGTTTTAATCACCATAAGCAGCCCTGCAAAGAAAAAAAAATTATTAAATAGCAAGTACAGACCATGAATTGACAAAATCCTTGTCCGACAACACAACTACCACAAATAAGCTTGCACAATAACATCAACTATAATGAAAATGACCTCAATATCCCTGTCGTTCAGCCTCATAGTTCTGTAGCTTATTACACAGAACGATTTTTATCAGTAGATAATTGCTTTGAGAGCAGTTTCCATTATGTAGGGTGGAAAATTTGAACATCGCCCAGACTCTAGCTGACATGAGGGACAGGGGTTGAATCAGACCTGGCAGAGATCAGACCTGACCGAGGCCTGGCTTAGAGTTAATCTCGTCATCAGTACAAAACACGTTTTGTATCTGAAACGTTTTGTCTCTGATTGGCTGTTCAGTTTAGCAAACCAGTGCATGAGACGAAAAAATGAAAGTAAGCAAACGATGAGGTCAAGAGGGCACACAGAATGCTCTTCTAAAGGGGCGTTTACACAACACTGTTTTTAAATAAAAGTTGAACACTTTTTATGTGTTTTGGTTGTTCGTTTATGTTTTAGAGGCCTGAAAACGCAAACTTTATAAAACGGGTTTCAAATAAATTTTTTAAAACGTTACCGTTATCGCCTCTATGTAAACTACAAAAACGTGGATTTTGTCTGGAATGAAGAAAATGAAGACCAACTGATCAACATGAGTCATATTCAAAATGGTAAACAAGCACTGCTTTTTTAACGGGTTTTATCTCTACAATCTTAGTTTTGGTTGCCCTTTTTGAACAATGAATATAGACTACCGCCACCTGCTGGTATAGACAGTTATTTCCTCTCAAGCAGGCACAGAACGTACATTCTAGTTGGCCTTTGGCTGTGTACAAGTGCAACTTTTTGGCCTAGATGCAGATGAGGCAACAACAAGTCGGCTTTCGTCGCCGCTAATTATTTTACGTTGGTTTGGTGTGTCAGGGGCTTTAAGGGAGGAAAAAAGCTCTTGGGCTTTGGTTCCTCATAAAACAGAATCTGTATACTAAGTGATTTGGGTCAAATTAATTACTGAAGTGTGAATACTTCAGTTTATAGGTTTAGAGAAAACCTCTAAGCGGAACGATTGAGGAATACCAATACAGCGTGCACTAATGTTCCCTGATCGAGGGTTTAAAAGCAAAGTTTACTGGAAAATGAATTCGCATTTTCAAAATGTAATCAACTCGCCATGTAAAAGCACTTCTCATTCTGTAATAACATGATGCCTCTGTTTATATCTCATCAAATCAATCCATTATGAGTTCTCTTGAAGCCTGGAAATGTTTTGAGGTGGCAAAGGGGATTTATTCCCTTCACCAGCCTGTCATTTTATCCCTGAGAGGGGTTATGGCCCCTGTTCACCTCAGTCTCTCTCTCTTTCTTTCTCTCTCCACCAGGTTCCAGTCTGCTGATCAAAGGCAGCAGGGTTCGCCACAAATCCACTGACCACAGCAACTGCAAGCTGATCCTGTGTCCAGAAGGAAGCGACACGCACACAAACAGACTCCACAATCATGCGCTCTTTCACTGTCATAACACGCAAGATTGATTTATCATCGTTCAACTGCCTCCGACTCGCCGGGTCTGCCTACAAAAGCATTTCCATATCCATCCTTATGCCCGCATCGATTGCTATTCACCTCTGACTGATAAACTGCTACTTCATGCCTGGCCACTGTTTAATGCAGTACTCCAGTAGGATACACCCGACTGCCGAGACTCTGGGATGCTGACTGAGTAATCGATGCTCAGAGGTGGACTGAGCTGAGATTGAGCCCATTGACATTTGTCAAGAAGCCCCTCTCAGACTCTCCTTTGAGCTTCAATGCTCATTAAGGAGCCATAAGGAGCATCAGCAGTATCACCAGTATCTGACGAGATGGTCTCCATGTCGATTCCAGTGTAAATGTTATAGGAAAGGATGGCTAAAAAGCATATTAGTATCATGAGCTTTGACTGTGCCCTGCATGGCAGAATGCAATAAGTGCTGATGAGTATAATCACATACTCGGCTGAGATCTTAGGAAGATGTATGTGTCCTCTGCTGGGAACACATTTGACTCTATGAGCCTGGGTAATTTACCCACTGAAAGGCCTAGGAGAGATATGTTTTGTTGTTGTTGTTTTTCCCAGATAAATAACTACAGCAGGAAACACCTGCGAGAGAGTCGCTATTACCTAAACTGCACTAAATCGGACAGAAAAACAGTGCAATTTTTAATGTTTAAGTGGGGGTGGATCTCGCAAAAACATGTTCTATGTAAAAATTAACCGGAAAATAAAAAAGAAAAAAAAAGATGAAAAAAGACAATGATGACATATTTGCATTTGTACATAAAACACAGCCTGTTTTAGGATATTTAATTTTTTTTTATTTTTAACATTATTTTCATGATTATTATTATTACCTCTTTGGAAATTTTATTTAAAAAAAATTATGTCATCCTAATTTTTTCCAATGGCGAATTTCATGAGATTCTCAATGCAATAATTTATATTTAATCAGTTTAAAGTAAATACTAACATAATGAATACATACTTAGAATTATTTATATATTATTTGTATATTTACATTACAATAAATATACAATTATAATTACAATAACATACTATTTTAAATTTGTATTTTATTTACATGAATGAAAACAGGGGAAGGTGTGCTTAATTGTCATGCAAAAAATCTTAGACTTCTTTTTCTTTTAAGCCATACTTGACTACATACTTTCCTATTGCACATTACTAATCTTATTGTTTATAATGAATGAATGCATGTTATTTTTAAGAAAAAAAAAAAGAATGATATACCAACTAACGTTTTGGGTGATTCATTCAGTGATGTGTGGAATGAAAATCTCTCCACTTAAAAACACTTTCCACTGACAAAAAACTCCCTTAAAACGGAGTAAACAAACATGCTAGTATACTTGGCTGTTCTTTCCTAAATTGTAGTTTCAATGATTTTGCTGGTGCTTGCTATTGATGTCATGAAACACATGAGCTTGGGTCTAGATTCTATTTGTTTCTCATCTGTTTTTCAGTAGCACAGACAGAAGAGCAGGCTGAGGACTCTCTCAAAGGAAAACATCCTCTAGCCACACTTGGGGATGTATACCAGGGCACAGAGTGATATGAGTGCTTTCCCCGATCCCTGCCTAGTACAAGGATTCTCACAAATCCTAGATAAACAAGCCCCAGGCT